GTATGAACCTTTCAGTATTACCATCACAGAATCATAGTAACCGGGATAAATAGCCCATAAAAAACTGGCAACAGAATATGCACCCATATATTTCAATTCACCTTCCTCTTCATGTACATCTCTCATACTTGTCAAAATTTTGAAATAGCTACTCGGCAGGAGACCCGTGAAGTCATTATGCGAGACATCAATGATTCTCAACTCATAGAAGTAAAATGCAGGTGTAGAGTTGTAAATGGCACCATGAAATCGATTGGATTGAAGGATGAGAACTTTTAGCTGTGAAAGAACACCTAACCAATGTGGAAAGGTGTCATTCAAGCAGTTGTTCCCCACATCAAGAACTTGCAAGAAGCTGCAATAGCCCAAAGTCCGTGGCAGTATCCCCTCCAATTGGTTGCCATTTAGGTTAAGAGTTGTTAGTTGACTCTCGTTGACAAAAGAATTTGGTATTATACCATGAAACTTATTCATCTGCAAATCCAAGATATAGAGATAACTCAAGTTTCCAAGACATTCTGGAATTTTTCCTCTCAAATTATTATTAGCTAACATTAGAACATTAAGAGAAGTCAAATTGCAATAAGAAGAAGGGATTTCGCCAATCAAATTATTCCCTGAAATGATGAGATGCCTAAAATCCCAAGTTGTTGATAGAATGGGAAGTGATCCTTGTAGTAAGTTGGAACTGAGGTCAACTTGGGTAAGATTTTCAAAAGCAAACAAATCTATACCGGTCAAAAAGTTATAAGAAAGGTTTAAATTGACCAATGACATCCCTTCGATTTCCCATTTGTGAATTTGACCAGAAATCTTGTTCTTGGAAATATCCAATACTTCCAATCTCTCTGCCTTCCTTAAGAAACTTGGGAACTTGTGTATGTTGCAAGAAGAGAACTTTATAGACCAGAGGTTCGGAAAGGAATAGTTGACACCAGTGCTATTATTGCTCAAAGACAACAAATTGTTATTGGAAAGATCCAGATCCCGAAGGTTAACAAGTTTTGAAAGCATGTTGGCTGTAATGGTGCCACTTAAATTATTTGAAGAAAGATCGACCACGATAAGATTCACAAGACGAAAGAAAGAACTAGGAAGTGAACCACTTATCCCATTATTGGACAAACAGACTTTTTGTAAAATGAGATTAGGCATCTCAACATGATCAATAGGTTCGGTAAGTCTATTGTTTTGGAGCTCTAAATGGAATAAAGAAGGTAGAGAAAACAACCAAGATGGTACATGACCTGTGATGAAATTATTATCCATTTGTAACTTTTGTAAAAATGAGAGTCCACTTATATTGTGAGGAAGAGGCCCTCTTAGCTTATTTGATGACAGTCTCAAATAAGTAAGACTAGCGAGGTTGAAGATTGATGTAGGAATTTCACCATCAAAAGTATTATTAAAAAGGCTCAAATAAGTTAGCTTTTGCATTTTTCCAAAAACATCTGGAATTGATCCATAAAATTGGCAACCATCAAGATTCAGATACTCGAGGATACTACTCAGGCTTGACTCAGGCAAATTACCTCCCAAATGAGAGTTGTCTCTTAAATTAAGAAGCTGGAGAGATGGAAGCTGAAAAACTTGGCTTGGAAAGTTTCCTTGCAAATTACAAGAGCTAAGGCTCAAATGCTCCAAGGAAGAAGTCAAGTTTAGCAAGGAAGAAGGCACAACCAGAGACATATTCACAAAATCAAGGCTAAGAAACCTTAATTCTGTTAAGTTATGCACAAGCATTTGAA